ATGCGACGCTGTGCAGGCAGGACCGCAGCGCCGACAAAGACGATCGGGGTCGCCTACGTACTCCGGGTCCCCTCCGACGGGTCCTGCTCTGCAAAAGAAGAATTATAATACTATAAGTTAAAAATTTCGGCAGAACCTCCCCTGTACGGGGAGGTTTCCAAAACCTACAAGAAAAAAGCCGGCACGATGGCCGACAGCATATATACGGCACGAAGGCCCACACATCCACGTACGGCATGAAGGCCCACACATCCACATACGGCACGAAGGCCGTCAATGACATACAAGGCACGGAGGCTGACAACCGGGGGGGCTTTATACCTTGGGTGGCGGTGGAGTCGGGCGACGCGGTGCCGTGGTCACCTTCGTCTCCAGCGAGGGGCGTGGCCGGCGGCCGAGGCTCCTCCTCCTCCCTTCTCCTTCCTCCTCCCTTCTCCTTCTTCCTTCTCCCTTCTCTCCTCCACCTCCCTTCTCTCCTCTACTCCCATGCTCCTCTCCTCCACTTCGGCGGTTCAGGGGAGGGGGGCAGCCGGGGCAGGGCACCACCGGCGGGTCCGTGTCCAGCGGCGGAGATGTCTGGGTTTTAGGCATCGTACATCACAACTTGCTTGGAAACTTCTAAAATTTTTACCACAGCCTCTACATGCGATGACACGACACCTTGACAAGTTTCGTGATTTTCAGACTTCGTTTGCATTTTATATAATTAAAAAACACTTTTTTAACAAGTTGGTGGTCATGTTTCGTGAAACAGATGTTCGAAATTTCACGAATGTCCCTGCACACGGCCTCAAAATACACTCAAAAACATGAATACCATTTTTTGAATCGCTAAATTCCAATATTTCATGCACCTGCAGTTCAAATTTACTTTTTCGAGAAAAATTCAAGTAAACATAAAAATTTTAAAAAATATACCAAAAAGTCATAGAAAAGTTCCAAATTGGAACATGTGCTTCAAGGTACTGTATAAAAGCCACAGAAAAAATTTGAAAACAAAAAAAATAAAAAAAAAATACTTTGCCGAGTGTCGGAATTGGCACTCGGCAAAGGAACCTCGGCAAAGACAGCACGTTTGCCGAGTGCTAACGGCCAGCACTCGGCAAAGGATGACGGAGGGGCCACCGGCGTCGCCTGAGGTATTTTGTCGAGGGTTATTCTTTGTCGAGTGCCTGACACTCGGCAAAGATGACGTTTGCCGAGTGCGGTGCCCGTGTTTCGACACTCGGCAAAGCGTCGAGCACTCGGCAAAGAGCGCGTCTCCCGTAGTGACCTACCCATACATGCATGAGTTGTCCACCATTGGATATATACACCTACTGATACCGGAAGATGTGTTAAAAGTTATTTGCACTTATTGTATTTTTCTTGGATGCATGATTTATATACTTGTGTTTGAGACCCTTACATGTGGTATGTCCAATTTGTGAACGATGTATATGTCATTCTAGAACAACAACATATATGAATTTATAAAGATCTAGAGTACACAAAAGATATATATGATAACAAAGACCTTACAATAAATTTACGTATACAATAATAAAGATCTTTTCAGAAAAAGAGGTAAATGTTTTACCGACTAGGACAATGTTAGCATCAAAATCTATAAACACATTATAATATAACCCCCTCACAATCATTCTTGTAACACCCGAGTGGGGGTGTCAAAAGTTTAGGAGCATGCTAGGGTGGAGAACCACTATGGCTGCGAGCCATGATGAGTCTATCTTGCCTCCTGCCTCAACTCAATGACCAACAGAGCAAGGGTTTGGAGCTGTGATGAACCCATGCCTCTAGCAAGAGGGCCACAGAATAACAACAAACTAAGGATGGTTGCACTGTTGCCAACACACCTTGGCTTTGATGTGGCTTTATCTTTACAAACATTCTTATAGTACCTCTCATGCTTCATCTTGACTACAAAACGGAAGGTGTATATGGAGAGACTCCTCCCACAGAGAACACATATTGAGACTATATTCAAATGGTATCACACACATGCAGGGGACCTAGCTCCTCTGTTCGTGGAGGTGTACGGACGCCGGTTTTATAACTAGAAGTAATGGTGGTAAATGGATCTAATGGTGGAGAAGTTCAACCAATTGATGATTTGGTGGATCCAGCGGCAGAGAACATCGGGTCAACACCAAAGCTCGTGGCTTGACCCGGCAATGATATATCACTACCGGTTCATAGCCTTTGCCGGCATTGATATGACACCTATCACTGCCGGTTTATGTCTTGAACCGGCGGTGATATGTCACTGCCGGATAGTGGTTTGAGCCAACTGTGATAGGTGCCTTCACTGCTCGGTGAATAGCTTCCCTAACTTTTCTGAATCCCAGGCTTATGAACCGGTAGTGTTAAGCAAACACTGCCAGTTCAGCGTTGAATCTCATCTAGTGACCTTCAGTAGCGGACAACACTTTAGCCAGATTGACTTTGTCCTCGCGAGAAGAACGGACAAACGAGCATGCTTGGATTGCAAGGTGATACCGAAGTGTGTTGTTTCTCAACATAAGCTTTTGGTGGCGACTTTTCGTTTCAGTGCGTGCCTGTGAGGATAAACAAGCTAAGATTGAAAGAACAAAGTGGTGGAAACTGAAAGGCGAGATGTCAGAGGTATTCAAGGAAAGGGTTATCAAAGAGAGCTCTTGGAAGGAAGAAGAGGACATAAACAACATGTGGGAGAAGATGGCAACCAACATTCGGAAGGTGGCCTCAGAGGTGTGTGGAGTAACCAAAGGAAGTGGAGGCGAGGCTAAAGATACTTGGTGGTGGAACGAGGAAGTCCAAAGGGCTATTAAGGAGAAGAAAGAATGCTATAGACGCTTGTACCATGATAGGAGTGTGGACAACATAGAGAAGTATAAGGTGGCAAAGAAGTCTCATAAGCGAGTCAGTAAGTGTGGCAAAGGGTAGAGCGTACGAGGATCTTTACCAACATTTGAGTACGAAGGAAGGAGAGAAGGACATTTATAGGATGGCTAAGGTTCGTGAGAGAAAGACAAGGGACTTCAACCAAGTTAAGTGCATTAAGGATGAAAGGGAGCATCTCTTGGTGAAGGAGGATGAGATCCGACATCGATGGCAAGAGTATTTTGACAAATTGTTCAATGGTGAGAATATGGACACAACCTTTCAGTTGGATGACTCTTTTGATGACACCAATAGGCGCTTTGTGCGGAGAATCCAAGAATCTGAGGTCAGAGCGGCGTTGAAAAGGATGAAAGGAGGTAAGGCGATGGGACCGGATGGTATCCCAATCGAGGTGTGGAGATGCCTCGGGGACATAGCTATAGTATGGCTAACCAAGCTGTTCAACCATATTTTTCGATCGAAAAAGATGCCTGACGAGTGGAGGAGAAGTATATTGGTACCGATCTACAAGAATAAAGGGGATATTCAAAGTTGCACTAATTACCGAGGAATTAAGTTGATGAGCCATACTATGAAGCTATGGGAGAGAGTTATCGAGCATCGCTTGAGAGCAATAACACGGGTCTCTATGAACCAATTTGGTTTCATGCCCGGAAGGTCAACCATGGAGGCCATTTTCTTAATAAGACAAGTTATGGAGCGGTATAGGGAGAAGAAGAAGGATCTACACATGGTTTTTATTGACTTGGAGAAGGCTTATGATAAAATACCAAGGAATGTTATGTGGTGGGCTTTGGACAAGCATAAAGTCCCAACGAAGTACGTCGGGCTCATTAAGGACATGTACAACAATGTTGTGACTAGAGTTCGAACAAGTGATGGAGACACGGATGACTTTCCGATTAGGATAGGACTACATCAAGGGTCAGCTTTGAGCCCTTATTTGTTTGCCTTAGTGATGGATGAGGTCACAAGGGACATACAAGGGGACATCCCTTGGTGTATGCTTTTCGCGGACGATGTAGTACTAGTTGATGAAAGCCGGACAGGAGTGAATCAGAAACTGGAGTTATGGCGGGAGACTTTAGAGTCCAAAGGTTTTAGACTCAGTAGAACTAAAACTGAGTATATGAGATGTGACTTCGGCACTACTACGCGGAGGAGGAAGATATTAGTTTGGAAGGTCAAGTAGTGCCTAGGAAGGATACCTTTCGATATTTAGGATCAATGCTACAGAGAGACGGAGATATTGATGAAGATGTTAGCCATAGAATCAAAGCCGGGTGGATGAAGTGGCGGCAAGCATCTGGTGTCCTATGTGACAAAAGGGTACCACAGAAGCTAAAAGGCAAGTTTTATAGGACGGCGATTAGACCTGCTATGTTGTATGGTGCAGAATATTGGCCTACGAAAAGACGACATGTTCAACAGTTAAGTGTCGCGGAAATGCGTATGTTGCGTTGGATTTGCGGTCATACAAGAAGGGATCGAGTTCGGAACGATGATATACGTGATAGATTAGGGGTAGCACCAATTGAAGAAAAGCTTGTCCAACACCGGTTGAGATGGTTTGGGCATGTCCAACGGAGACCTCCAGAGGCACCGGTGCGTAGTGGAATCCTAAGCCAGGATAGTAACGTGAAGAGAGGCAGAGGAAGACCGAAGTTGACTTGGGTAGAGGCAATAAAAGGAGACTTGAAAGGATGGAATATACCCAAAGACTTAGCCTTAGATAGGAGTGCTTGGAAGACAACTATTCACGTGCCTGAACCTTGATTGCTTTTGCTGGGTTTCAACTCTAGCCTACCCCAACTTGTTTGGGACTTAAATGCTTTGTTGTTGTTGTTGTTGTTGTTGTTGTACTCGGAGTACTAAAACGAACTGCTTTTTCTGTCTACGTGCAGGCAAAGTTGGACCTGTCGAATAAGCTTCCACCAATAGAAGGTGTTTATTTTTACTTCTACTTCTAGCTGTTTCTTTTCCGACGCACTCACTTGCTAACAAATAGATTAATCACTACAATTTCAGATGTGATTGAAGCCAAATTTATTGCACGCAAGCAATGGCTTGTGGCTGGAGATTGTGATGGTTACATTCATGTGTATTGCTACAAGGCAATGCAGCAACTAGCACACTTCAAAGCACACTTACACATAGGGGACTTGGCAGTTCATCCAACTGAGCCATATGTGCTGTCAGCCTCTTTCGACGAGGGAAACGTCAAGTTGTGGGACTGGGAAAAGGGCTGGGAATGCACTCGAATATTTGAGTTTGTTGACTTTGACCATATCTATCGAGTCACCTTAAATGTATCGGATACGGATACTTTTGCAGTTCATGGCGCTGCTGGAATAAAGGTAGTATATCCAACAGACCAATACTTAAGTCAATCTGGTAGTATAGTCTATTGACGACCTATGGACCATACTTCTTCAGGTTTGTAGTCACCGGTCTGCTGGTTCTGCTGAATTCATATTGTCTGAATATAATGACCCAGATATATATTGCTTCGATTACTTTGCTAATGGTGGCCATCATTATTTGATTATCGGTGGCATTGATGGGATTGTCAAGGTTTGACGTCTTCTCAGTAACCATGACGTGCAACATATGCGATGAAGCATTCTCAATTATAATCTTTTTCTTTTGTTGAATCAGATTCGGGACTTGCACACAAAGAGTCTTGTTCAAACAGTTGAAGGCGTACATCTTGATTTAGTTAGCATAATATATTGCCATCCCGAGCATCCAGTACTAGTTACAGGGTCACGAGATGGAACTGTTTGTCTGTGGAACCCAACTACGCTCAGGTAAAAGCACTTTACACTTTACTTCTCGTAGGACAGCTTACACATGACAGGCTGGGTATATCAGCGTTCGCTGAAATATATTGTCAATGAGACCAGAGAAAATATATGTGCCTGTAAAATAAAGCGCAACAATGCTACAGACAGATGTATAATTGCTTCTTTTCTATTGATCATCCTGTTGCAGTATAGTGATTGTGGAATGCCCAAGGACATGCATAAAACTTTACATTCATTGACATCAAAAGATTGTGATGTGTTGCTTTCTTAAAAGCAGAGGTAAAACTTAAAAAAAAAAGATTGTGATGTACCGTATCACATTTCACATTCTTTATATAATGAAAACAGAGTTCTGGCTCTTTTTACTATTTGTATCACATTTACAGCCGTAGCATACATCTTGATCATTGTTACATTTTTTTTATTTTGTGAATTACATTGATCATTGTTACATATTTTTCCCAAAAATGATAAAAAGGAATCAACTGACACAAATATATACTGTTTTTTACTACCATGTTTCTGCTAATTTACTATCATTGTTTGTCCACTTTCACTTAATACTATTTGAGTTGGAAAATGAGTTTTGTTGATTTCCACAAGGACAGTATGAGCCTCACTCAACTGGTTGGGTGGGAGGTGTGGTCATGCACCCAACCACCGAGGTTCAAGTCCTATCTCGGCTTGAATTTGGGTGCCTATTTCTGCTTATTTCTCTTTTTAATAATAATGAAAAACCACCTACTTCCTCCTAGGTTGGATCTCTTTTTTTAATCTTTTTAAATTATAATATGCACTACACACGTTTCAATGATTGTCTCCTTATATAACAAATGCCTTGTGCTCTACCAGGCCTGAGAGAACGTTTAACTTTGGCCTCGGAGGAGTTATTGATGTAAAAGTATGTATGGATAGCTCAAGAAGGTATGCTGGAAAACAATCCCCTGTTCTGTGGTTCAACTGTCATGAGCATTATAGACACAACCCATAAAGTATGGAAGCTTAAATAAATTACTACCTTCATCCCAGAAAATTTAACGTTATAGTTTTGTCAAAGTCAAACTATCTTGTGTTTAACTAAGCTTGTAAAAAATAAAATTTTGATATTACCAAATGAAGTATCATTAGATCCTTGGTTATGGTTATGGAAACCTCTTATCACTACCCTATGGCAATTACCTTCTCAACCTCTACCCCAAAAGGTCAAGTGTTCAGGTTTGAAAACTTTTGGCTGCAACAACCAGGCTTTCAAGATCTCCTTTAGAAGGAATGGACAAATGATCAACATCATGGTGATTGTACAAAAACCATCACTTCCAAATTCAAAGCCCTGAGAAAAGCTTTGAAAGCTTGGCATTCAAATCTATCAAGCCTGAAAGCAAATATAGCTAATGTAAAGCTAGTTTCAGAGTTTCTGGAGACAATAGAAGATTTAAGGGACCTTAATCTGGAGGAATGGAACTTTAGAGAGATATTTAGAACAAAACAATTTCACACTCTTGGAACAACAAAGAACATACTGGAGACAAAGGGGCTCCCTGAAATGGGTTAAGCTTGGTGATGCAGGCACAAAATTTTCCAAGCAAATGCAACAAATAGACATAGAAAAAACTTCATTGCTAGATTGGCTTCTGACCCTAGCACCATTCTTCAACCCACTCAGAGAAGGAGTAACTTCTTTGGCAAGCTCTCAAATCAAGGCTTAGAACTTCTGAAATTAATGAGATGCAATTCAATTTGCAAGCTCTAATCCAACCCACTGATCATCTCCACTTTATAGAGGAAGAATTTACATAAGAAGAAATTGACAATGTGGTCAAATCCTTACCTAATGATAACTCATTTGGCCCAGATGGTTTCGCAAATGAATTTCTAAAAAAAATGTTGGCCCACCATTAATGCTAATTTCTATGATCTATGTAGGGCTTTTCATCAAAATAATCTCTGCCAACATAGCATTAACTCCTCTTACATCACCTTGATCCCAAAGGTGGATACCCGCTTGACAGTTTCAGATTTCAAACCCATCTCCCTCCTAAACACTTCTATGAAATTGATTACAAAACTCCTGGCAAATAGGTTGCAAGGAATAATCAAGGGCCTTATCCATAAAAATCAATATGGCTTCATCAAAAGCAGGACAATCTAGGACTAACTTACATGATCTTTTGAGTATCTACATTTGTGTCATCACTCCAAAAAAGAGATGTTGTCGACAGAATATCGTCGGCAGTCCTCCGAGGGGTATCCCACGAAGGTAGATTGATCGGCAGAGGAGCGTGAGATTAAGAACAAGAAGGCAACAGAGACACACGAGTTAGACAGGTTTAGGCCATCAGTATGACATAATACCCTACTCCTGTGGTCTGTTGGTTTGTATTGATTATCGTATGATATTTTGTGAGTTTGGAGGAGGTCCCTGCCCGCCTTATATAGTCCGGGGAGCAGGGTTATAAGTCGGTTAGATCTATGAGATAACCGGAAAGTAATAATTGATTACAGGAATCTAGGGATCATACATATCTTAACAGATCTCGTAGTATCTTCAGGATATCTTCTAGATGTCTTGCGGGAGGCGCCGAGTAGAGTCGTGCCCCGCAAGGCTTCGTCTTGTGGGCTGGGCTGCCCCTGGGGGCACAGCCCATGTGGTCTGCCATGGGTATCCGGGGTCATACCCCCCACGGATGGTGGTCCTCAAACTTGACTTTGGAAAGGCTTTCGACAAAATTGAATATCAAACAATCATAAATCTTCTGGAAGCCAGAGGCTTTGGTAGGGTCTGACTTGCCTGGATCAGAAATATTCTTTATTCTGGCACATCAAAGGTTCTCCTCAATGATGTACGTGGGAAAACTATCCATTGTAGAAGAGGTGTTAGACAACAGGGACCCTCTCTCCCCCCTACTTTTTGTTCTTGCATAGACCTACGCAATCCCTCCTAAACAAAGCTACATAAATTGGCCTTTTAAAGCTACCCATCCCTCTCCTCTCTTCCCCACATTTTCCCATCATTCAATATAAAGATGACACTCTGATCATTTTGGAAGGAGAAACCAAGCAACTCTTCTTGGAATCTGCCCTATACATTTTTGCGGAATGAACTGGACTTAAGGTCAACTACAGAAAATATAGGATGTTCCCAATCAACTTGACAGAAGAAAAATTAAATCACCTTGCAAGCACTTTTGCTTGTGAGATTGGGTCCTTGCCTTTTACTTACCTAGGCCTCCCCCTTGGCCTTACCAAACCCAGAGTTGAGGAATTTGTCCCTTTAGTAACCAAATGTGAGAGGAGACTGGCTAGCACTGCTGCTTTTGTCTCCCAGGCTGGAAGACTTAAAATCACTAATGCAGTCATATCTGCCCTCCCAACTTTCTACCTTTGCTCCCTCTGGAAAACATTGTTTATGGAGAGTTGCTGACTTGAACTCAAAAAAGGCACCAAAGGCAGCTTCAGACTTAGTTTGCTTACCCAAAAATGAAGGGGGGCTTGGAGTTCTGAATTTGAAGAAAAAAACACAATGAAGCTCTGATGATGAAGAATTGGAACAAGTTCTTTAATAAGCAGGACATCCCTTGGGTCTCTATTGTCTAGGAAAAACATTATCCAAATGGAAAGCTTCCCAAGCATAAAAAAGGATCCTTTTGGTGGAGAGAAAATCTAAAACTCCTGGAATCCTTTAAACCTTTAGCCATGAATCAAATCCAAAAAGGACAAACTTGCCTCTTTTGGCAGGATAATACGGGACGCAACAACCCCTCAAAGATGAATTTCTAGAACTTTACTCCTTTGGTAAGACAAGAAACATCTCAGTGCATAGCTTCTATGCCAAAGACCCCATAACAAGTGAATTCAACTTGCCCCTGTCTGCATAGGCATTACATGTGGGGACAAGACTTCTCATCAGCAAGAGCGTATGCAAATCTCATCGGGCACAGACAAATTCATGAAGGATTCATTTGGCTTTGGAGAAGCTTTTGCCAGCCTAAACACAAGGTTTTTTTTTCTGGCTCCTCATTAGGGATAGATTGAGCACAAGAAATATCCTCAAAAGAAAAAACATGTAGTTGGAATCCTACAATTGTGTGCTCTGTTAGGTCAATTCGGAGGAAACAATGTAACATTTGTTTCTAGAGTGCCTTTTTGCCAAAAGTTGCTGGAGACTGCTTAACATTAACTTCAGCCATGATTCCATATTCCCGGAAGCACCGCTACAAATCAAGGCACAATCACACCCACAAATTTTCATGTTAATAGCCATCCTAATGTGCTGGGCAATACGGACAGCGAGGGATGATCTCATCTTCAAAAACATACTGACAACAGTTAATGCAGCCAAGGAAACTTTCTTTAAGGAGTTAAAGCTACTGACGGCAAGAGGAAAAACCAAGGACTCAGGCACTTTTGGTGTATAGATTCAAAATTTGTTGTAATTTCTCTTTTATCTCTTATTTTCTTTCAGTCTTTCTTTTTTCTATTTCGTGCTGTACTTTAAATCCAACTCTTATTTCTAATAAGCTTCCTGTAGGGATGCAAACCCCTCCTGTTTCATAAAAACATACGTCTAAAAGCAGATCATAGCCTCTAGAGGGAGGGCGAGTTAGCCAATCTATCTCATGTTGTTCTTTTATCCATTCCCCAACCAATCTACCACAACATCTTTAGTATCAGAGACTTCGATCCTCGGTCCTGTGCCAGATCGCTCTCATTGCCGTCCTTCTGCTCTGCTAGCAACCACTGCCTTCAATGGGTGATTTCATCACCATCTCTGAGGGCCTCGACCACGTCTCTGCAGGGTATGATCGCCTTTCCACGCAGATCGGTCGTCTCTAAAAGACGTTCTTCCAACTCGGCGATCTAATGAAGACTCGACCGCCACCATTATCAGCACCAACCATGGTGATGCGCTAGGTTGTTCCAACTCTGGCCTTGATGTACGGTCCACCAAAGCGCACGTCCTTCTCAGTCTTGGCCGCAACGTCTACCACACTGCCATTGTCTTCTCCATCAGCAGCCTCGCCAACAGCCACTCTCCTTCTATTGTGGCGGCATCCGCATTGTCTTTGCAGCTCCCAGATGTGCCACCATCTCTGCCATCACCGCAACGTTTGTCAGCTGTGGACATGCCCGCCCCATCAGTATTGGCAACCTCTATATTACAATGGTCGGTTATAACAGGCAACGCATTGTGCCCACTTTTTTTTTGAAAGGTTAGCAGGGGAGGCCCCTACCTAATAATTTTTATACAAATATACTAGTGTAAAGTATATATGCAAAACTTTAAATAACATGTAGTACACTAGTACTTTATAAGACAAATCTAGTTATATTTTTATAATAGTCAAATTAACATATTCACCAATATTTTTTTGAGCGTATTCACCAATATATATTAATGTACTACTACATAGTTTATTTATTAAACATATGCTGATTGCATGCAACCTGAAATGGCATTTTTTTTACTAGAGAGGGAGTGTTATCAGCTAGGTTTGTTATGTGATGATATAAGCCAAGTGGTTGTATAGAATCAAATTGCACAAATTAAGTATGCACTTTTTGTCTTGACAGCATGTTGGCTATGATAACGAGTGCCAACTGCACTTTTTTTGAGCTTTCTTCAATATTGACATAATCTTATTTGTCATGGTCTCCTAAGTTGTTTAAGATCCAACTTCATATCAAGCTTAACGAGCTGAGACGGAGTCGAAAGTCACTCAAAATCAACTCATTTTTATTTTACAAGAAAAATGAGTTCAATCGGAGCATTTTTGGAACGAGCCACCGAGCCAGCTCAACGAGCTTTTTGTCTGGCTTTAACCTCTATGCTCACGCCTCTTTATTTAGATTGTGCTCTTTGATCACATGTAAACAGCGGCTCACCCCGGGCATTCGGTCAGACCGAACCGATCGGTTCGGTTCCTCGGTCATTCGGTCAGTTCGGTCATCAGAAACCTGGGACCGATCGGTCTTTGCAAAAAACGAAGACCGAGTAAGTTCGGTCTCGGTTAGTTTGGTTCGGTCTCGGTCACGACCGAACTAACCGGACCTGAGTAGCAGCCACAAACAATAGCAGAATCTATAGCAATTTTCAATAGCATGCTTGCTATTTGAAGGCAAAAAAATAACAACACAATATATAAAACAAACCACACATTATTATGACAAGTTCTAGCACACAACTTTCTCAGTTCTCACAAATCACAATCACACATAATGACATTACGAACGAAGTCTACAGAACTACGGTCAGTTCGGTCACTTCGGTTAACCGACACATATGACCGAACTTTTATCGGTTACTTCGGTTAGTTGGGACTTGGGAGTCAGGACCGAACTCATGACCGAACTTTTCGGTCTCGGTCTTTTCGGTTCGGTCTTCGGTTAATTATGCCCAGAGTTAACAGCGGCGGATCCAGGAAATATTTTAGGGGGGACTGAACAACACTGCTGCTCGATCTTAAGTCTCAGCCCCCCTACACTATAGAACTTTGCCTAAAAATTCATAGAGGCTCTACAATAATTTGCACTGCTTCGGTATGGGTAGGGGGCTTGAGCCCCCGCCCCACTACTGGATCCACCCCTGCATGTAAAACTTCTAATCGGCAACATCTTAATCAGTTACAGGGTAGTGATTGCACACATGAACGGATTGGCAATGATAGAAATCGACCAAAATGATCTAGTTGTTGTGAACACTGGCAGCAGCAGTGAAGAAAATGATTTAGTTGGCTCAAGAAAAAGAAAACTATCGGAGCCAGAACAGTCGGAGATAGAAAATGAAGAAAATGATTTTGTTGTCGATGTCATGGACACTGGTAATGGCGCAGAGCAGACGCAGGGCAATGGGTCAATGGATGAAGAGGTAGCTGCATGCACACATGTCAACACATCTTTTTCATGTGGGTGCATGATACTGTATATGTTTCTGATGTCCTGTATCCTTACCGATCTTTTTTTTTTGTCCCTTCTTGTAGATACATTCTGTCTCCAGTAACCTGCTCGACGTTTACCCTGGGAAGCTTCAGCTACCATTTAAGCCCAATAAGCTGACCTCTTGTTCAGTAAAGCTGAGAAACACGACGGATGACCACATTGCTGTCAGGCTTCTGACGAAGTGCCCGAAGAGATACATGGCAAAGATGCCACTTTATTGCATTGTGCCGCCAAATTGCATGTACACATTCATAGTGACAGGTAGCGATCAGAAGAAGAGACCCCTGCTGAGCAGGGACGAGTTTCTCACCCTAGAAAGCACCATTTGCTTGAAAGAAGATATTGTTGGGCTGCAGAATGCTAATGTAGACTCAGCGGCCATGGAGTTTACCAACTTCTTTAAAGAAGCCAAAGAGATGGCAGCTGATAAGCAGGTGCATGAGCTAAAGTTAAGTGTTGTTTCTGACCCACTAAAAGAGACAACCTCTGTTCAGGTAAACACTTCCACTATTTCTGTAGTACTTCCTCTGTCCCAAATTATAAGATGTTTTGGTATTTCTAGATTCATAACTTTTACTATGTATCTAGACATAATATATATCTACGTGTATAGCAAAAGCTATGAATCTAGAAAAGCCAAAACATCTTATAATTTGGAACGGAGGGAGTATATATATGTTAGACTTAAGCACCTAATACATGTATTCGTATTGTATTCCTTTTTTATCTTTTAATGGTGGTGAACTGGTGATGTGGTAGCAGCAACCGTCAGAAGTTGAGGTAATTTGCCTCCATTTGTTTCAACCATTGCCTCTTTGTTACAGCTGTTGACATTTTTCACCAATTAATGTTGCTCTGTGTTTCGGTTGAATCAGGTCGTATCCAATAGGAAGTTTTCACATGTGCTGTCTGTGGACGTGCATCCGACAGAACCATGGTTACCTCCTGTCTTACAACATAGTGACCGAGATGATTTATTAAGTCTTTTTCACTTAACATTTCCTTTGTGCATGCAGGATTCTGACGACCAATCAAGCCGGAGAGGTTCTCATTTGGGACTACAAAGCGCAGGTAAGTAGTAGGTTGCTGCTCGATCTCATCTGCTCATCTCTACAATGGTGGCAAGTTCTGTTGCTTTGTAAATTTTCAATTGGTTACATTGAATATGCTCATTTATGTGTAGGCCATAGCTATATCCTTTGACTTCACACAGAAACAAGGTATCCTTTATGATATTACTATTTCCATTTATACTTTTTCTTTTTTTAAAAGAGAGAGAGAAGAAACATGATTCTCTCGTGAAATAAGAAAACATTTAAGTTCCGTTTACTCCATGACAAATAACACATATGCATAATATTATTTCATTGTGAATACAGTTTACTCTGCTAAATTCATTGTGAGAGAGGAATGGATTGTCGCTGGTGATGGCTACGGGACTATCTATGTATACAGTTACCAAACAGAGGAGGAAGTTACAAACATCGATGCTCACGATAGTGACATCACGTCTTTGGCTGTGCATCCCACTGATCCTCTTGTGCTCTCGTCATCCGAGGATCGCCTGATAAAGCTCTGGGACTGGAAGAAGAACTGGGAGTGTACTCGAACATTTGAGGGACACTCCGACAGAGTAACACATGTAAATTTTAACCCAATAGGCACCAGCAGTTTTGTATCTGCTTCCTTGGATCACACAATCAAGGTTTGACTTCGATTTTGATCTTATCTACAAAAAAGGTTTTCCTGCATAATCAGTGCCTATGCACAAAACAAATATTACTAATTCAATCCTTGGAGAGTTCAACAGATTGTTCTATGCTTTGCTTTGCAGGTTTGGAACATTTCTTCTCCTGAGAGCATCATTACGACGCTGTCTGATCACCCGGATGGCCTGGTTTGTATTCACAGTTACAGAAGTGATATGAAGCAGTATTTGATTGCTGGATCTTGTGATGGGACTGCACAAGTATATCATCTTTACTGAAGAATACACTCACTGTGTTGTTTAGCATAAAAAGTACTACAGTACTTCATTGACATCATCTTTGCTAATTAGATCTGGGACATGGAGACGAGAAGACTTGTTCAGACACTCAAAGGGCATGCACGTCATATTAGTTGTGTCTACCATCACCCAGAACTTCCAGTAGTAATCACAGGTTCACATGATGGGACTGTTCGTTTATGGAACTCCACTACCTACAGGTACATTGAAATACTTGTTTTTCTGTCATTTTATTGGAGGGTTCTAGGAAGACGCTTCAGCAATACTCCCGCTGTGTACATGTTGTTTAGGTGTTTAGTTCATAATATGTAGATCTAAGTAGTTAGTGAAAGGTTGGAAGTTTTTTCTTACAGTTTTAGTAGTTTCACTTGTGAGATGACAGGCGACAGACCGAAGAACATGCAAAAATTAACTTCTTATGATAGATACATTGATAGAAAGTAAAATATTATGTGTTATCTAGATAAATAAAATTTCGTAAACCTTGGGTCTTAATATGGTGCATATAGTTGGTATTAACCTTGGTGTAGTTGGTATTAACAATCCCAAAGTTGCAAGTTAATTTTTGTAGTTTTCATAACAGCTATCTTTTTAATCTTGCAGGCTCGAAAGTATAGTTGGTATTAACCTTGGTGTAGTTCATGCTCTTGGATATATCAAAGACTTAAGAAGGTAATGGATTGTTTTAGTTTCTTTTATATTACTATATATCACCAATTGAAAAGAAAAATACAATTTAATGCTTTCTACATTTATGCATATTGCTTCAACAACTTCATATTGTAGTATGCTTGACACCTCATTAAAATAAATACATATATTTGTAACATTTTGATAGAAACATTCGCAAGGTATGAATGGCTAGGATTACAATCATTAATTAATATGCTTTGATGTATCATTTTTTTCAAAGAGAGTATTTTCGAAGGAACCATGAAATGATAATGTTCTAACCCACAACACTCCTTCAGTTAAAACCGGCCAGTGAACTAATAAACAAGAAAAATTGTCAATTTTTTTGGAAAGTTGTATGTTTGTACTCCTTTTTATTAGACAAATTTGGCGAAGATTCTAATGTGAAATCATATGTGCGCCCAGTTAAAGTCCTAGACTCTATAGTAGCACTGACCTTCCTAGGAATTTTAATTCCATGTTGGATGCATTTGTATGCATATAGCATTCTTTGTGTTAAAGCATCTGACTTATTTTTTTCTAAGAAAATAAAAAAATAATATTCGGATATTAAATTGACTTGTTTTTAGCTAGAAACTATCCAAGAAGAATGAACTATTTGCACCAAAAGTTTAGGTTCTAAAAAGAGGTTGAGATAGCCATTGCAAAACGGTTGCCAACACATAGCCTTAGCCTGTTAATCTAATTTTGTGTAACACCATACATCTAAAGTTTGCTCTGAGGCTAACCCTGCATATGTATAGCATTCCTCTTATAGTGTCATCCTAACTTCATATAAAAGTATTAATTTTTTAATACGGTACATTTGTAACGACATCAATCATAAACCAGCTAGTACCTATTTAGACAACCAAATTACCACTATTCATCTGACCATACTAGAACAATTGTGCGATACATGCCAAGACTAGAGCATTAATAGTCTACATACACAGTATGTTTGTTAGTTGTTTAACTTTTAATTGGTTCTAAGATTGTTTGGAACTTGTAATACCGTCGTATACTCCAATTTATCATGAATATTTGGCTAGCAAAATGTTCATCTAATGAAGCGTATATTAACTGTGTGTAGGATTGCGATCGGTTGTCACCAAGGAATAGCCATCATGGGAGTGAACTACAGTTAAGACCATTATGTGTGCAGACCACGACAGAGATAATAACTATTGTGACGCAAACACTATTAGTTTTATTAGTGTTTGTTGCGAGAAAATACTTATGGCGTGTCAATAAATGTATAACATAATTTTATTTGAGTGGACATAATTTTATTTGAGTGGTGGATGTGGTCTTCATCTTTCTTTTGATTTTGTGTGTGGTTAAAGAGGGTATCGATCTCTAGTGTTATAGTAAGTAGAGTTTTTTTCCCCGCCACGCATTATGCACATTGAACCAGCCAAAACCTGGCCAAGAAAACTATGTGCCTTGTCCTCGAACTAGATTCTAGAGATTTGAGCCGGCTGTGAACAGCTATGTCTGAATTGGAGCTGGCCGCATGGCCGCTCAATGATCACTCGATAGTGGAAAAAAGTAAAAACAATATAAGACGACATCGCCATGTCTAAATTGAAGCTGACTGCTTGCCCGCTCGATGAGCACTCGAAAAACTAGAAAACAATATAGGTCGACAAAAAGAGGTTTGAAATCAATTCTTGGAAAACACGGTTTCATACCACCACATAACATGTTACTTCACAATTAAATAAAATCAACAATGTAGACATGTTACAAATGCTTGGAGACGGCAAAGCTTGATCCTAGCTCTTCCACCTCATCTTGTCTTATTTTTTTGATAAAGAAGAATTTCATTATTGTTTTTAAAAATATTACATCGAGATGACACAAAACCTTGAAAAAAAAATTAGTTGGTAGCCCAGCTTTCCTTAAAGGTTTGTGCTAGTGAGAAATTCCTTGCTTTAAGCCTCGTAGAAGCCGGTAAGGTTAGGCTGGCTTTGCTGGTAACTTAAGAGCATCTCCAAGAGTACCAAATTTATTCCCAAACCATTAAGTTTTCTAAGTCACCAAAAAATTTTGGGAGCACCAACCACTAAAGAATAGTTTCTCCAACAGTTTACAAAAAATCACTCCTTAAAAATATATAAAAACTTGGTCCTACACAAAACTTCCACTGCGGCGGCAGGTTTATTTTGCGTGAGATCACGCGTGCCGCCATTACACACCACCTCCCCGGCCGCCGCCCGACACAGGATCACCTTCGCGTGCCCTCTAAGCGTGCCAGTAAATCCTGGATTGGGAGAGTGTTTTGGGTACTCTTGGAGATGCTCTTAGAACCCAATAGTCTCTCTCTGTCGGTGGTTGCAGAGAAGATACAAAATATTAATAAGGAAATTGAAAAGGTGGAAAACAGCCAAAACAGAAAAACGATCTACAGTATGAGTATCGTGCAAGTAGAGTACTACAAGTCTTGCTCTCCATGTTGTCCGGTGAAAAGAGTAAAATTCATCGTTGGTCCTTAAGCTTGGCCGACGATGTCATCCTAGTCCTCGAACTTTCAAAGTGATATATGTGGATCCCTAAACTTGGCCAGCGGTGTCGTTCCAGTCCATTAACTTTTAAGGTGACCATCGTCGGTCCCTAAACTTGGCTAGTGGTGTCATTAGAGACCCTAAATTTGGTTTTGAATCTCATCCCGAGTCCAAATGGGGCTAACCCAATCTATACGCTTGTCAGGTTCATAAACCCAGGGTCCCTCATGGACCGACTTCCCAACAAAGGCTCGGCCCAACAGACAACATTGCGAACAAAGCGCAAACTCATGGGCCGGCGTAAACACCTAAACGATAGGCCAGAAGGACAATCCAATCTCCAACCGGAAGGCCTGGCTGAGGAGGAATGGCGCCCGCTTCCGACTCCAGCTCGCCTCTCCGACCGGAAGGCCTCGCAAAGGAGGAACAACACTCGCTTCGATACCAGCCCACCTCCGGACGGCCTCTTCGACCGGAAGGCCTTGGCAAAACACCACTTTTTGACTTCGGCCTGCGTCTCCAACCGGGGATGCACCGAACATTACTTACAACTCCTCTCCGACTAGCGCAATTAGAGCCAACTAGGACCAACCGACCGGGGACGTCCGCTCGGTAAGGACCAGGATACGGACGGAGAAAGTAAGGCAGGACACTCAGGTCAACCGCAACACCAAGGGCCATACCCTGTACACCTGCCGGACAGTACCCTACGACATGATAGAACCCAAGCAGTGTTGTAGGAGCCGACATTTTCCCTACAGTGTTGTCGGTGCCTTCAATTCCAAACCAGGCTACCACAGTAAGGCTCCCCCCACAAGCCTCTGAGGCATCGACATTGTTGTGGGCGCCGGCATTTACAGTACTAGGCGAACATGGTAAAACCCCCTGCATACCTCTAGGCATCAACAATATGGCGGGCACCGATGTCTGCCATATCAGAAGAAAACGACGCAACCTCCCACGTGCATCTGACATTAAAATAGTGTTATGGGCGCCTACCATCATCTTGTACCTATCGGCGTGGGCAACAAGACTTAGTATCATACGTACTCTCTCCCTCTCACTTGTAAGGCCATCCCCTTCATCTATAAAAGGGGATGAGCTCTCTCCCAACAAAGAGATCGATCAGTTCACTAGTACATAACAACAGAACCACCAGGTTCAAACCACAAGCACACGCTCGAATACTTAGCACATAACGGGGCTCCCGTCACTCTCAGCTCTTCAGATCAGAGTCCGAACGGACCTCTTGTACCCCCTATCTTTCTCCCTTCCGTTTGTAACCCCGCAGCAAACTTCGAGCACCTAGGCTCAGTAATAAAGTCACCGACCGACTCAAACTGTACGTAGGGAACGTTGCCTGAACCAGTATAAACCCTATGTCATTTAGTGCTAGGCCACGTCCGATCACAACATACAACAAAACTATAAATATTTACATGTTGGTCACTTTCTGCACCGACAGTTGGCGCCGTCCGTGGGGAAGACGTTATACGTTCAACACTTTTTGGTCATCGGATGGCCCACTTTTCCGCCACCTTCGCCATGGCGGGCTCAAGCGATACGACTCGCTTTGGCTCACTAGAGTTTCCCGCACTCCCACTTGTTGGGGTGTGGGTTCCACCCATCTTCGAGCCACCCTAGGGCTTCCTCTTCGGAAGCCTGGACTTCGTTGCCGACCGGCTCGGCATACTACACCTCCGTGAGGAGGCACTTGTTCTGGCGCCCGTCGGAGGGGCGCCCTCCATCGGCTCTAGGACACGCGACAACTTCAACGACGAGGCGCCTGCGTTTCATTCCGAGCAAACTCTGCTCAAACCCCGCTGTGAGTAATGTACATATTGTTATTTACTTGCTTTTACTATCTCTCGCCGATTACCTAGAGGGACCGTATTGTCCGTACTACAAACACCGTACGACCGGTTCCCCTATGGCCTCGCATCCCCCGTGGATGCGTGCGCTTGAGGGCTCCGAAGGACGCTGGCGCTGCCCCCTCTCACATCCTAATTCGTGGGAATGGCGAGCTATGCTCCCACCACTTTCCATGAACACCTGGATGATGAGGTTGAGAGTGACGGCTCCAGCATCAGCGACATGGCACCTAGCCACCGTCTGTCCCAGGGATGCTCCGGGGCAGCCGCCGGTGGTTGATAAGTCTATGCAGACACACACCCCTCTGGACCAGCATGCGGGGGCCCTCACGCTTGCACAAGAGCACACCGAGGAGCTACGACGATGGCGGTAGAACCAACCATTGCCGGCGCCGGTGCGCTCGGCGTAGCATGTTGTACCCCATGCGCATGACCCGACGGGTGGCGCCCAGGGTCACGCCTGCTAGGTCTAGCGCGACATCATGAACGAGGGGAATGACCCCCCACAGTTCGATCGGGCTAGCCAGAACATCGCCGTTGCGGCAATGCTTCTGCGTGGTGTTCCCAAGCCCGTCGACCCCCAGGAGCGGGCGGTCTACCGAAACCTTCGGGCACTGGTAGAAGCCACCGCCGTTCAATAGGCGAAAAGCTCCACATCGCTACTCCGACGTGCAATCTCTCCCCACTGAGGGAGTGGGGATGCACTAGACGGATCGCTCCATCCGCTCACCGCTATAGCCGCCAAGCGCGGCTCAGGAGGCAGCGGCTGCGCCACGGTCTGACCTGGCACCTGCTCCACACCGACCGCTGGTACGTGAACGGCCCGGTTCGCACCAAGATGCTCATAGCATCATCAGCAACCGGCATCAGGCCCGGCATGATGACGTCCACCGGGCAGCGATGAGGGCAAGCGACATGGGTCCTGGCTGAACCATCGAGGGGAGCGATGAAACGTGCCCCAGACATGGCCACCGGCCAGACGACCGGAGTCCCAGCCCTGAGGGCCCGGGACCATGGGCCTTTGGCTGGCGTATCCAGAGAGCGCCGTTCCCACAACGCTTCCGACCGCCCACCAACATCGCTAAGTACACCGAGGAGACGAACCCCGGTGTTTGGCTCAAAGATTTAGGCTCGCCTACCAAGCTGGAGGGGTGGATGATGACCTTTTTATCATTCAATATCTCTCCATCTACGTGGGGGAACATGTTCGGGCGTGGCTCGAATTCCTCCCGCATGACAGCATCCGTGACTGGGCGGACCTCAAGAGGGTCTTCATCAGAAATTTCCAGGGGACGTATGTCCGCCCTGGTAACTCCTGGGACCTCAAGAGCTGCCAGTAGGAGCCCAGCGAGTCCCTGCGGGATTACATCCGTAGGTTCTCCCAACAATGCAATTTCCTCCCTAATGTCATCGACGCAGATGTCATCAGCACATTCCTCTCCGGGATGACCTGCGAGTCCCTGATCCGTAAGCTTGGCTGCCTGAGCCCCGTACCACCCGCGACCTGCTCGACGTCGCCACTAACCATGCCTCCGGCGAGGAGGCAGTCGGAGCAGTCTTCAACGGAGGCTGGGACAAAGGCAAGGCCAAGCGCATGGACCAAGATGAGGGCCCCTCCACATAGAGGGGCAAGAAGAACAAAAAGGATCGGCGCCGACCGGACAACACCGCTTTGGTCGCCGCGGCTGATCGCATGGGAAAGCAAACCCAGCAGGGCCTGCCTGACCACTTCAACAAGCTCATGGATAGCCCATGCACCAACCACGCGTA